TGAGCTCGATAGCTCAAAAATTCAATACAGATTTTAACGAAATTTTGTGATTTATTTGTGACTATAAGGTACTTCTAAAATAACAAAAAATATTTATTTATTTTGCGATAGATTTTGAGCTACGCTGATTTGAAATCGGTGAAATTTTCAAAAAATTCATTTTTTTCTAGATTTTTTGTTCAAAATATCCTTTGATTCGAGACAATAACATTTATTTTTTTTGTTATTACATTGTTTCACTGATATGCACAAAAAATTTCATCAAGATATGTTGGCTAGTTCAAGAGATATAGCGTTCTACGTAGGTACAAGTTTTGAAAAAAATCGCTCAAAAATTTGAGGATGCTGTCACAAAAATCTTCATAACTTGAAAAATAATTGAAATTTTTTTATAAAAATTTTATTTTGTCGATGAAATACATTGAGGTACTTACTGTTCAAATTTTAAAAAAATCGGAGATGGTCGGGCGTGGACCATGGTTCAAGTTGACAGAGAATGACCCATATATATGTGTGTGTGTGTGTCTGTGTCTGTGTGTGGTTGTGTATGTGTGTGAGCTAGATAAAAAATAAAATACCATTCAACAGATGCTCTTCTATTTACTGTTTAAATGACAGGTACAACAAACGTTTTAATTTGAAAAAATGCAGAACACGAATACATAAATGTGTTTGTGATAAGCTAGAAAAATATGAATTGACATCTTTAAATATGAGAAGCGGTACAGTTCAATTGATTGGGCATTAGGATATCATTACGTATACAATGATTTGAAAGATGATGACACTGGGATGAAGCTAATGTAATATATGGTGTAGATGAAGCCTTCAGAACTAAGATAACAACTCACTGAAAATGTTGGCAGTTTTATCTTTATTCAGTTCATATTTTTCAATCTTATCTTCTTGTTGTTTCTTTTTGAGTTTTCTTTTGCTGGTATCATTTGTCTTTGTTCTGGATTCATCTGAAGTAGCAAAAAATGTTGAATGATAAACAATATTATTGGTTTATCCCCAATGAAATAACATATTTGAAAAAAGTTTATATACCATTCATTAAAACATCATCAATGTTCGATTCGCATCAACATGAAATAAACTCAGTCAAGGGGGCTTCAACTTCATTGGTAGATTCCATTCAACCAGTCGAGTCCACCACGATGGACCCCACTCAGCTGGTCAAACCACATCAACAATCAACAACAACAAGCCTCATCCATCATAGGTCCTCCTTCCGACATCAATTATACAGCATGAATAAATCCTTCACACATGCAATTTTGATATTATAGGCGTATATGAGACCTGGCTTAATGATGTCTCTTCTTCTCTTCTTTTCATATTCCTAATTACCCATTTCACTACACCAACAGAAGTAACAGAATTGGAGGTGGAGTTGGATGAAAAAAAAATTTTTTAATTTTTTAGTTAAAAGTGACTTATGTGACTCTAATGATACTTTTGAATGGCAAGTTACAAACCTTGATTCTAATAATTACATTTTCTACATCATCTATCGACCCCCTAATTACGACTGCAATACATTTTTTGAGAATTTATCTTCCTCATCAATTAAAAGAAAAGCTTATAATAAATCTATTTATATCTTCGGAGACTTCAAAATTGATTTACTTTCTGATGATCATCTTAATATAAAATTATTATTCCGCAATCTACTGTCAATTTTTAATTTGCTTCATCTCATTTTATCTGACTTCTCTGACTACTTCTCCATCACTTACAAAGTTCAGAGAGGATCTCAAGACCCACCTGATGAAGATTTTTCAACAATGATTAAGAAAGCTAAAATATTGGCAATTGAACTGGAAATATGTGAAGGATTCGATAAAGAGAAATATGGAGAGTTAAAGTTGAAAAATATATTGCTTATCTGTCGTTGTGGACAAATGAAGCAAAGGTTTTCATCAGGTTTCACAACAAATGGTGAAGATTTCAACAGAACGTTCTACCAGAAATAAGATGGACATTTATTGATGGACTATAAACAATGACACAAAAACAGCTGGAATTGTGAAAATTTCATTATTTCCATTGCACTGGTATAAATTTTTTAACTACCTCTTAAAATGAAAAAAAAATTAACGAGTTATTACTATTAAATATCAGCTGAGTGATGAAGACAAAACAACTGATGGTTTGTTTGATTTGAACAAAAAATGATGGCAAATCATGATTCAAATCAAATTCAAATCCAACAATTTGAAGAAATAAATAGAAGATGTGTGCCTGCACTGCAACGACTACAAAGCAGACCAACTTTGGGCCAGCTGCGATAGATACCATCGCTGTTGTCATCGCTCTTGAACCAGACATGCTGCTGAAAATTGGAAACCCTTGATTTTAGCTGTAAATAATTGTTTGAATAATTTTAATTGAACAAAATTATTTAGTTAACATCGCTTATTTGTTAGCCCTCCTTCTTTCTTTGTGTTTTGATAAGTGTCAGAAAACAAATTGTATTTGGATGCATAAATTTTGGTTTTTAGTGCTTTTAAAATTATAAAAAGGATGGGTGAATTTTATAACATAAGCATCAACATTTGGGTTTTCAAAATCAAAAGCAGAACACACACACATATATAATATATATAAAAGTTAAAAGTTTCTCTCTCTCTTTTGCGTTTGCTTCAGAGGTTTCAACGACAAACACACACAGCGTATATGAATACGCATGCAAACTACGCATCATACACATTGCATATGATAGGCGGGGATCTCTTTGTATTCGAACCCAGTCAATGCAATAGCAAGACCAGGCGCCTTTAACCATTGAGCCATCACGCCACTATATTGATATATATAACATTGATATATATAATATATATATATTATATATAATACGTATATATTTCAAATTCAGGTTTTGAGACCTGGATTTGGCTCGATGCAGCTCTTAGTTAGATGGAGGAAATGGGGCTGGTGTGGGCTGCTCTGATGACCAAAACAAAAACCCAGTGTTGATAACATTACCGCCATTTAAATTCGTTGGATTCTCATTCATTCTCACACACGACAATCATTAATTAAAAATGAATCACCAATAAAATTAAAATTTAATTAAATGAATGAAATTAAATTTAAAAAATAAATCAAATTAAAATTGAACCTTCTTTTTCGTCTTTAAAAGTATCAATAAATTTCTTGACTAACGTCATAGACATCTTTATCAACAAGCGCAAACCAAACCTAAGATGGTTAGAAAATTAAAAACACAACACTGCTTATCGAGCGAAAATATAAACATAAATCTGGTCACAAAATGTAAACACACAAAGATTGAATAACGTTTTTAGATAAATGAATAGTATTTTTTTTTATCTATGATTAAAATAGAATTTTAGTATTGGAATTGAACAATTACATATTTTATTAAAATTTTCAATACACTTTTCCAAGGTTCAGAGGTCTAAGGGAAATCAACAACACACAAATAGCATATATAAATACATGCTAAACAACGCAGCACACACGAATCATTTGATAGGCGAGGATATTTTGTCGCATTCGAACCCGATTACTGCTATTGCACATGCACACACTCAGCTACGGGAACGGGCACTTTTAACCACTAGACCATCACGCCGCGGGAACATACTTGAACACCACATTGAGCAGAAAGTGTCATTATGAAACTAGTGGTTGTAATTCATTTACCATTTGGTGATTTTTGCATTAGATATAATTATTGTTTGTATGAATGTATGTGTGTGTGTGTGTGTGTGTGTGTGTGTGTGTGCGTGTATGTTTCATTTATGAGTTCCTATATCTATGATCCCCAGCTATGTTATCGGGTCGGTTTTTGCATTTGTGACATTGCATTTGTGACATTACATCATGCTCTACATTTATAAAAAAAGCCTGCAATGATCATGTGGTTGGCGAGATTGATTTTCAGTCAGCGGCAGAAGTTCGCACGATCATCCCATCGATAGCCACATTGCAGAACGCGAAGGAGAAGCTATTTGTTGTGGCGTCCAAAATTCAGGATTTAGAGTTTGCCTGGCGTATTTTTTAGTTAATATGTAAATGTATGTAAATAATTAAATAAAATGTATTAAATATGTAAATAAAATAATTAAATATATATAAAATTAAATAAATAAATAAATATATATATATATATATATAATTACATACAAACGTATTATCAATTTTAGGTGATCATTCCAATTGTAATTACGAAAATAATGCTCTGGATTTAATCTGAGGTTCAAGAAAAGAAGTTAATGCCTTTACAAGTGAAAATTAAATGCTTATTTAATTTACTGATATTATTTGCGGACCAATCAACCAAACGATGCCGTGGTGTTGAGGAATGTTCTACGGAAATGTGGCTTCCTAATTTCCTTCATACGTGCTAGTTGTGCAATGGAAAGTACACCCACAACATGGGTGAATGTGCTCTGCTGGGTGTTTGTTTCACCTTTAATTCTGAAAGCTACTATCGTTACAACATATTGATGATTACAACATACGTTATAACATATTGATGATGAATAAATTTGTAGCACATACACATACGTCATTGAAAGCAAATTTTACCAGAGCTTGCCGATAAACAAATTTATCAAGCAAAATTCTTAGTTGTTTTCCACAAAATTCCAAATCAGAAGAATAAAGCATACATATTAATTTGGACATCGACACACACACACACATTCATACAAACACATACATACACACACACACAAACACATACATACAAACACATACATACAAACAAACACACACATACATAAACACACAGGACTAAGTAAATTGTGTACAATTGTTAATTACCTCAACGTCCACGGCGTAGACATGTGCGTACGTTCATGGCCGTACAGACAGATACAGAGTGGATTGCATGCGTGCGTGTGTGTTTTGTTTGCTGTGCATGCCTGCGTACAACAGCTCATATGCATAGATGGCTGTATGAATGTAGTAAGCTTCGAGCTAAGATGCTCGACCAACACGCAATGACCATCTTCGAATGGTACTGAAGAAACCTACCTTATTATTTTTGCTCTTGTCCTTTTTTGTTTTTTTTCATTTTTTTAACTTTTCATCCATAGGAGAATTTATGGATTGCATGGATTGGATACATTAAAATATGTGAGGAGGATGACGACGACGACGATGAGATTCGTTGAGTGCATCGTTCGTTTGTAACAGATTAAATCAATTAAGTAACGCAGATCGCCAACACAATAGAGAAGAATATTCGTCATATTGCGATGGACGATTATTTTTATGTTTCGAATCGACGCTCAATCAGTTATAACAAAGGATTATCATTAATTCGTTTACACTCTTGCTTTGTTGATAAACATATTTAAATTGCTTGAATTTAAATTACTTAATTGCAAAATTTTTTAAACACAACAGTCTAAAATGCACAATTGTTGGTTTATTTACTTCGAAACGTCGTCGAAACAATTTGAAGAAAACATGGGACCAGTCGAGAAATAATATAGGTGATTGTTTAAATTTGTTTTTCAAAGTTAAAATCGTTTCAATTGTTTTTAATGAAGCAAGTTTCACGGTTGATTTTTAACAATAAATAAAATGTAAACAGAGTACAAGGAGACAAATAGGACATTATAAAGCACTGGATCTCAGCTTCTCGACATGTTCAATCAACAAGTCAGTTGATTTCGATGTTGTTCGTAGAATAAATTTCTTTCATAAAATAATTTCATGTTCTCGTCTCTACTTGGGTACTTGAAACTTGTACAAATAATATTTTTTCTAATTTTTTTCACTATTTTAATACTTGAGTAGAAGAAAAGCTGGCATTTCTATTTAGCACCATTGTTAACTTACCCTAACTCATCTACCGAAACACCTAAATATGGCGTGCTTCACAGAGCTTATATTTTCAACTGCTGCAAACAATTTTTACGTTATGAAAATAATAATAACAATAATAACAATAATAATAATAATAAAAGTACTTGTGCCACCCTCCTGTTGTGAGCAGTATTTTTATTAAAAGTTTGTAAAAGTCATTGTTTTAACTGAAAAAGCACCAAAAAATAACGGTCGTCAGCCTAATTTTGACCAATTTCGAAAAATTTTGACGGGGTCAAAATTTTTGGCCCCTCGTCAAAAAATTTGGCCATACCATCAAAATTTGAACAATTTAAAAATTTTGCCTCCTCTCCGACAAAGTTGTCTAGATCCGCTACTGCTGTAGTATGCTATAACAACAACCTTGCCTTTGACAATGTTGCGTTGACAGTTAATGAAATAGGTCAACTACCTGATGAATGCTTTTGATGAAAATTTAAATTTAAAAAGAGTCGGGGCAAACAAATTTTATTATTTTCATTAAGTCAAACTGTAAAAACTGAAAAAAAAATAATCGAGAAATAAATAATCACGAATTAATTAAAATTCTTTGAAATAATTGACCAACCTTGAAACTTGGAACTCGTCTGTCACTTTTGAAAAGCTCAATCATTTCCCATCATCATTTTGTTCAGGTGCACGCGCCTGATTGGGCGTATGACCGGAAGAAAGAAATTTAAAAAAATCGAAAAGTGAAATGCGATGCGACAATATAATAAATAGATTTAATATAATGAATGAAAAAATAGAGAACTCGACATTGTAGAATTAGTTATTAGACAATTTTTTGGCACGCAATAAATTTTTAAAATTATAAAGACAAATAAAAGTAGTTTTTTGAAGTAGAACGAACATTTAAAAACAATTTATTGGTATTCAAACAATAAAATATTAGCAGTTAACTGGGGCAACTAGCGAAATCATTCTGTGGAATGGGACAGTGAGTGGTATGATGGTTAATGGCTTGTAAAAAAGTGCTTTCAATATTTATAATGAAAATAAATCAGAGGTGAATGAAGACAATTTAAAAAATGTTTAAATTTTGAAATTTGATGAGTGGTCAAGAAGCTAGCCAAATTTGTGCTAGTGGGGCCAAAATTAGACTTGCGACCTTTCTTGCTATATCACGTCAATCTTTGGTCAAATTTCTACTTGAAATCGTGTTTTCCGTGTAAAAGCTGAGTTTAACTGATTAATAAAAATTTTGCAGCAGAGGTATTGATTGACACGTTCGGCTGAGATTTGACTTAGTTGAACGAGGATAACAAATTAATTTTATAGTTATGTGAATGTTTGTGGCAAGTTGTGGATCAGCTTTTGTTCTTCTATCTAAGAACTTGTTTCTCCAACTGTTGATAAAGTTTGTACTACACATTTTTGAATAAGTCCTTAACAATTTTCTCGACTTTATAAAAATAGTTTGAAAAACCCTAATTTTTCTTAATGAAACTTGTCATTTAGAATGATCATAATTTAAGCACAAATTCATATTCCGAAAACATCAAGACAATGTACTTTGGCAGCAGCAGAAACAAATCAAATACATGGATGTATCAGATGAACGGCGGTGAGCAGAAAGAAGTCAATCATTATAAACTTGTATAAAACGTTAGTTTGCTCTCATCTCGATTACTATTCACAGGTTTGGAGTTCAGATCTACAACAGGACAAAGACATTCTTGATCGGGTACAGAGTAGAGCAACAAAGATGATCGAAGGAGTTGGAAACTAGAATATAGCGATAGACTGAAAGAATACGGATTAACAACACTAGAAAGGAAAAGATGCAGAGATCAGATTCAGACATATAAGTTAATAACTGGAAAAGAAGAAATACCGTTCACCAGGTTCATTCAATTAGAAAAAGGAAAAGATTAAGAGGTTATAAATACAAGCTCTTCAAGAAAACAGAAAATCCAATAAAGCAAAGATTCTTCAGCAGCGGGGTGGTAAACGCCTGGAACGAGCTGAGCGATGAAATTGTCTCAGTGGATTCAACCAACAATTTTAAAATCAAACTAAGAGAGCTAGGATACTAGGACATTCATTTTGTAGTGGTTATCTTGCTTAATAGTTTTAACAAGTAAGTCTAATTCAACGTTTATTTGTTGATTGTTTTTTTTGGTAGAACCAGTGTAGTTCAGTTACACTTTTCCACTTTTGACACGTCTGTAAATTCATTTTTAGCTTTCTTAGTAGTTGAATAAATACACTTAGTTCAGGCAATAAATCTTACAAGTTAAAAATGTCACCAGTTACAAATGTTACAAATTACAATTGTTACAGTATAATTGTTAGTACCATTGTTCTTACATATAACAATTGTTACAAGTTACACTTGGTTAAGCGATATATTTAGCAAAATGTTTTGCCTCAACCTCAGCGCGACAAACACATCCTGGCAAATATTTTAAGTTTTGATTGTGCATATGAAAGTGATTTGTTATCAAGAAATAAATCAAAATTTAGTAGACGCTCACATTTACTTTACACACACAAACGGTTACATCTCTTAAAATTGTCATTATTATTCTCGTATTCATCGCTAATGATTTCGTCTTCCACCACCATCACGACCGCAATCACTAACATCACCATCCTCACTTTCCATCACTTGATATACATAATTGTATCGAACAAAAATACGTTTGTCACCTCACTGCAAGTCGGAAGTGCATACATGATGTCATCTTGGACAGATTGTTTTTGGAAATGATGGATATAAAATGAAACACATGAAACACAAACAACTACCTCACACCTACGTTCTTAACAAGCGCATATTTCACATAGGCCTATAAAAATTTTCATATTTCCAGTGCATGTTACCTTCTTACACTTGCTACTTCTAACAAAATTTGATACAAGAATATTTTCAATCACGCAAAAAAAATTGTTCAAAATTTATTTTAGAAATTTTGTATATTTTAAAATATACAATTATTATCTTATCACATTAAATCATTTGTAGCAAAAAGAGTTTGATTAAATAAATTCAATAACATGTAGCACTTGATGTCCTACACACAAACACATACGTACATTTCTCGTACCTGAAATAATATTATTAAGATGACTAACATCATTTTAGGTTCTCACGGGGTTTTTAAAAATTAACGTTGCATGTTTGCATTTTATTTATAAATAAAAGATTGTCAGGTTCCACAGTCAAGCATGTTACAAATTGCAGGGAGGTTATCGGAAATGTTTCGTTGTGGTGGCTTGGAATTTTAGAATTTCGGAGAAAGTTTAAAATGGAGCAGCTACGTTAATATGTATCCATTGTGGAAGGGGGCTGCAGTCTCGAAGCCACCCTCTGACCCCATTTCTGACGAGTGGAGAAGAAGTCTTGAACTAGTAAAAGATCAGAAAATGTGCGAATATATTAAATATGAATTGAATTAAAAAAATATAAGAAAAATGCCTGAATGAAAGTTAGAAGTTGTAAATATTGTCATCTTCAGGAAAATTACGTATGCACGTGTCTAATTTTTCTTGTATTAACAAGTCAACTTATAAAACAATTTAGGCACAGGATGAAATGTTTCAAATGTTCTGACAGAAATTTTTCCGCAATATAGAAAAGTTAATAAGTTCTATGTTCTTTTCAACTAATCTCAAACTTGATTTTTTTTTAAATTAGATACTTAATTTGTAAAAATAATATGTTTAAATAGTTTTAGAAATTTTACTTGATTCATGAATGATGTCGGTGCATAATGAAACGAGTAGGGAGCAAAATTAGCATAACTAGTGACTTAACATAACTAGCAATGTAAAAACCTCCTTTCGAAGTGCTTGCGCTGGTTTGTTTTGAGTTTGCATAGTGAAATCTGAATAATTGACGCCGCTAGGGACAGAACCCGTCATCGGCTGCAATTGCAATCTTTACCCGAGCTATGGATTTGCTCATATAAACAAGCACAAATAAGTCTCAAAGATAGACAAAAACCAATCGCACAAATCTGCCAACGACAAAATTATTTCTTACAACACACACATCTCACTCAAGTGATAAGTATGCATTCTCAAGTCTACGCACACATACGTTTGTGTATGGACACACACACACACCACACACACACACACACACACACACACACACACACACACACACTTGCACACGCAATCTTTTTACAAATCTGAAAAATACTTATAGATGGGACACAAGCAGGTAACCCTCATATTTACAATCGCAATCACACAAGCGTTAGTGGAACAAAAATGAAATACACGTGTACACCAAGCAGTATGGATAAATTTTGAACATCCATACTGTTTGGTGTATGAACATCCACACTGTTTGGTGTACACGTGTGTTTCATTAGAGTTCCACTGGCAATTGTGTGATTGCGATTGTAAACATGAGAGTTACCTGTTTGTGTTGACGAGGAACACAACTGTTTTGCCATTTTGACAACAATTTTTTTATACCATTAAATGATCACTTTGCAGCGTATCGGTGAATTTAATGCACTATTCGAATTTAGCACGCAGAGGTTCCTAAACGTTCATAGGACTCAAAATGGAAATGACCTTTAAGCTAAAATAATAGATACAATAAAATAATCAAAGAAAACATGTAGGACCGAAAGGCAATCACGGTGTCTCCATTCAAATGTTTCGCGTACAGGAATGTATGCTAGGGACAAACGACAAACACATCCCACATAATTAACTACGCATGTGCATCGTGTATATGTATGTATGTATGTATGAAGTGTGGTGTATGCATGCCAGATATGATGTTGACACACTCTTGTAAATTGTTTGTACATCTCCAATATACACACGTACACACACGCTCACAAACAAATGTATACACCTTCATGCAAACAAATAAACAGGCATGTACAATACATTGTACACATATGCACATATACATGCAAACAGAAACATGCATGCATCACAAAAACATAAATAGACACACACACACATGTGCAGAAACAGACGTACACACAAGCACACACGGTATAGATTTCATAACAAGTGCATTCGGAGCGGATCAATAAACAAGACAAGCGTATGATGCATGCATACAAATTCTATCTCTTCCATTGGCTCTCCTACGAATTTATTCTTTTAAAAGGCATTATTTAGGAACAGTTTGATGGAATGTGTGTTAATTGAATGTTTGGTTCATTTTCGATTACGACATCCAATTCCAAACTACAATTATTTCAGTTATTTTAATTATTCTCCGCTTAAAATTGGTTTATTAAAACATATTTGAGATTAATTGCATCAGTGTATGCAATTTCTACAATGAAGCTGGAAATTTTTCCAATCATTCAGTTAATGACCTTCTTTGATCTTTCACAAATGTTTTGGAGCATTTCATTCTCAATTTCCAGTCTTGTTGTTATTTCTACGGTTTTTAGGACAAACTCGGAAGAGCCTGGGTCACTTGCCAACAGATCCGATAAACAAGGAGATGATGGAGATTAACGGTACAAGAGGCATATGATCTATACACACATTTTGACGTTAAAAACTAAGTTCACCTCTCTAAACTTTGGCATTCAAGAAGATTTTTGCCTCCTGGCTTTGTAAACTTTCCTTCCCTCATTTAAGATTCATCTAGGGACTTCTATACCCGTATTATTTTTGGAAAATTAAGCTTTCATTGAAAAATTATTAAAAATAATTTTATCCCCTAATCAAATAAATTTGTTCAATTGAAGTGAAATAAATTTATTCACTTTTATTTAAATTTATTTTTACATAATTTATACATATCACGTCAAAAATGTTGTCAAATTCACATGAAATCTTTAAGTTAGGTTTTTTAGTTGTCATTTATTAATTATAGTTTTAATTATTGTTTATGTATTCCTGTGTTTCTATATTGGGTGTTGATATAAATATTAAAACCTGGAGATGTGGTTTTCGCTGCCTTCTATGTTGGTTCAACTCCACAGTCTCTTCCACATCGTTATGTTCACTAGGTATGTATCAGTTAGAATTACCAACACATAAATATAATGTTACTAAAAGTTGAAAATTGTCGAACCTTTTGTTCATAAAAACTGTTGTTAACAATACTTCAAACATGTGGTCAGTTTTTGAGGTATAAAACAAGAGCACTGCAAACTGTCACTGAGCAGCAGGGGAGGGTTTTGTGTGGCTGGATTAACGTGGGCTTAAAATTTTCTCCCTCTAAGAAGAAAAAAATAATTACAGAGACAGCATAAGAATATTGGAAAAACAAATTATCGAGCTGAGATTATGTCAGCATGGTGGCGTATGATTTATTCTTTTTGCACTTAATAAGCTGCATTACATTACACGCGGAGCTAAAAGAAATAGATGGTGAGGCAAAGTATATTCGCACGCATAAGGACGCGCGTTTTTATCACATAAGATGTTTATCATTTCATCCAACTAGAACACTAAATTTGCCTATCGTAAAATTCACAAAAAATAAACACTGTTAGATAACTTTCGATGTTACTTTTCCATTTAAATTTTTATAAAATATGCTCACTTTTCCACATTAAACTTTAGCTTGAATTTGTAGGTTATTCTATTGCATTCTAAATAACGATTTTTTTATTTGCTTAGATTAAATTTTAAGTTTATATTAGATCTATTAGATTGATCTAAACTGTTAATTATGATATTATTTTTTGGAAACTTTAAGCTGTTAATTTAGCAGAAAATATTATATTTTAAACATTTTCAGTTCTCGCGCACTTATTATATTGAAAATTAATTTATATATACGACTATAATTTTTTCCAGAAAATTACCAGGGTATCAACATCACCTTCATCCTCATCGTTGCCGGTGCCAACCAACTCCATGGATTAGATTCATTCAGAATGACAGCAATGAATTGAAGGGCATATTTTTCTCAGCAACTAATCATCCATCACGACCATCTCATTGCCTGCAGATCAACACTTGGTGGACAATCCAAATAACCAATAGCAACTTGGGTAGACTTGGGTAGCAATTGCGTCATCATTATATTCACTCAAGTGTAATTAATCAAAACCATCAAATATTCTACGAAATTAATCAACAAACAAGCAAACCAACAAACAAAAATGAACGCCATCGTGAACATGGCAAGATCCCAACCTGGAGTGAGTTGTGAGGCCACGGAAGACATGGAAAAGTTTGAGAAGGAAGGAGAAGCAGTTGAAGGAGGTAAGTTGGGAAGAGTTAACGGAGGAATGAGTGTTGGTGGAGGGGAAGAACTAACCGTTCAAAATGTTACCAGGAGACTTAACAAGTTGGTCATTTATCATATTGTTTACCGCTTTTATTTTCTATTATTTACTTTTGGTGATAACGATTTTATCATAATACTTTCTACGTGTTGGTTAAATTGCAATGGTATCATAAATATACTGCTCAACTAAATAAATACTCACTTGTAAAATTTCCAGTACCCTTATAAATAATTATATTATAAAGTTATAATTGACCTCATCTGATGCAATCCTGACCCCCCTTACCCACAAACAGGTTGGCAGCTACCGGGGTGTCTGTCACACCGACCACCAAAAAAGTCAACACCAGATCATTATTCCTGCTCAGTGAAGACAACACGATAAGGAAGTGGGCTCAGATGACCATTGAGTGGGGATATCCTTTTTTTCCTCATTCAGTTTTTTAATAATAATAATAATAATAAAATATATAATTGGAAACAAAATAATATTTTTAAGAATGCTCAAGAACATAAAGCAATAATAATAATAACAATAATAATATTATTATTAATTATAATAGCGCTAATTTTACTTTCAAATTCCTCCTTTGTTAGCACCTTTTCACTTGCTTGTAATGACTGAGAAGGTTCTAACATTATTTTTCACATAATTTATCAAAAACGGCGCAAATAGCGCTATATAGATTTCAGCCAACTGACCACCTATTTGAATGCAGTTTTGTTCCTCTCACGGTTGCGCAGCACAGCACATCACTGCTATGGATGGACCAAATAAAAACTTTTAATATAAATTTTTTTTACAAAATTAATCGATTTAGACTAAATTATAAATCAGTTAACCAGATCAGTTATGGCTTCTTATAAAACTACTTTAAGCGACAACGAATTTGGTCGAATCATTTAAGCCTGAATAAAATCATAAATGAGTGGATATGACCAATTTTAAATTTTAAATATTATGATTTCAAAAGCGTCTCTTGGTTTAATTTTTGAGTTTTTGATGCTATCGTGAGGAACGAAAAACTCGCCTCGAAAATTTCGAACTGTTGTGCTCGGTGGCTTCTGACCTGGTCATAGCATGTTCCAGTTCATCTGAGGTCATCGTGTGACTGACCGATCCAAATTCTCAATCGTGCAATAAAGTCATAAACAATAATCAATGTATTCCACAATAAAAGTTGATCCAGTTTTATTTCAAATATCAAAAAATCGGTAGGAAAATTATTGAAAAAAAGATAATTTCGCTGCAACTGATTTTAATTTATGGCATATTTTTCATTGTTTATCCAGATTTTGAAATGAAGATTACTCGTTTTATAAAAAAAAATTTTAAAATTATTTCTTTTAGAAAGATCGGTATCACATTGTCGTAAACTGTTAATGACAATCTAATAATAACAAATTAAATTTGATGACCAGCTATTTCCTTAACCTGTCTTCATTATTGTTGTCATTTCGAACCTAATTGTCATCGTCACCATCGTCATAATTACCATTCATCCTCCCCATCATCATCATCATCATCGCCATCATCATTACCATCATCAATATTTTTGTGGCCGTATGACGCCAACACGCCCTTCGAGTACATGGTACTGCTAACCATCATCGCCAACTGTATCGTCCTGGCCTTGGAGGAACATCTGCCTGAAAATGACAAGACACCGCTCAGCATCGAACTGGTTAGTGATACGATGACGGATGTTGGGATGATGGTTAGTCGTAAGTTGGCGTTGTTCAGACATGTTGTAGTGTTGTCGTTGTTGGTGGCATTGGATGTTATCAATACATAACTTGCCGTAGGAATCTCTTTTTGTCTACGTTTTTTCATTTTTGATGTCTTGCTGTTTTTTGACTTTTTGTTTCCTTGGAACAACAAAGTTGTTGTTTTGCTTTTAAAATTGTGGAATTGAAATGTGCAAGAACTACAAAAACAATGACAAACCGGGAAATTTCCGTGACTGAGAAATTTCTAAATATAAAATGATGACGAATAACATCTACAAGTATTGCCAACAACATCAGCAGCAAATTTAACCAGAAGCTCAATGGAAAATACGACACGAATTCGAAAGAATAAACCAGTTATAATAATTTTGAAAAAGAACGAGATGACAATACGACGATGAGGATGATGACGACCACGAAAATGACTTTGCAGGCAAGTAAACATCCAAGCAAAGATGAAGAAGAGAAGGAGAAGAGGATGGCATTGAAATAATGATGCAAACACGACCTAGGTTAATTAGATGTTGATGATGTAGCAACTCATGCCACAATGGTGATGCTCTCGTCTCCGTCATCATCATCTCGTCTCCGTCATCATCATCTCGTCTGCATCATCATATTGTAATGGAAATAATGAGATAATAATGATTATGTTGTCGTTCTACGTAGATTTTGTTACAATTATATATTAAATGTCTTCACTATCGATAATGAAGTGTACGCACAATAATAAAATGAGGATATTTTGGAAAAAAAATTATGATTAAAGCTAACAATGTTTCCAAAGATACGTGAAAAAGCAATACTTACAAAAAATTTATTATTTGACTCATTCTTCAAAAAAGTTTAATACTCGTATCATGGTTTTAAACCTATTTTTATACTGAAAGTATAAAAAGCTCCTTGTAAACATTGTTCTTCAAACAATCATTGAAAATCTATTCGTTTTTTTTATAAGAAAATAAATATAATTAACAAATCATAATGTTAATTATGTTTGTATCAAACTAGTTGTGTTATGAAAATAGCCTACAGAAATTTTTGCGATATCAAAAGAATGTAATTTCAAAAACAATTGACACAAAATTGTGTCCAGTTAGTCATACGAGAAATTTCAGAAAAATAATTTATTATTTTTGCACAAAATTCAATTTCAGGTCAGTGGTTAATTATTAAAATTTTTGCAAATGGTCGGATTGATTTTCAACGTCAGCTGATTGCCGAAGCAAAAAGTACCTATTAAAAAACAGGCATAAATCAATGCTTCGGAGTTTTACACTTCAATAACAAGCGCAAACAAAACATTTTCAAACAGTCTCCACCTGTAATCTCTGTTGAAAAGATAAATTGAAATGTGAAAAAATTAAAAAAAATTGTTGACCAGGGTTGCTGATATACCTGATGAAGAATTTTGTAATAATATAATAACATTAAATAAAATACTAAGTTAATAGTGTGGTCTCAATCTTGTCTGCAGAGCATAAATTTGAAATCATTTGATCTCATTTGATTTTAGGACATTTTAGTGGCAGTGTTTTTATAACTAACAATTTGTGCAGATCGTAGTGATAATTGTTAAATTTTTCTGGACTTGTAAAAGACAATTCAATGATAATTTTTTAAATAAACTCCAGTAATTGAATATTGAAACGTAAGGAATTATTTCTTAACTAAATTTTTTCAATTAAAAAATTCTTTAAAATTTAGAAACGTACTGGTTCGTTATCGTTTTGCTATGCCTCAACTTGACTGATGTCAAGAACGATGAACATGAACAGATGAAACAATGTGCATATAATGAATTATCCCAACATGTTGTTCACAATGTAACATTCTGATGGTTAAACTCTGCCATCCACAATCACCAAACATCCCACACCATACACCAAACAAGAAACAATATCAACGCTTCACTCAGACATGCACACGCACAAAAAATTATGACACAAATTGAATAAAATCATAAATAACAATGAATAACGATTTTTACAAATCAATATGTATGAACTTTTGTTTGTTCAATAAATCAAACAGAGAACATATTAACAATGGAATAGATTCTGAAGAACAAACGAAGTTTGGTAAAGCATGGGACAATAAAATAAAAGTGAAAAATTTGGTTGTTTTCGCGTTCGCCATCATGTTTATTAGTTTTCCAACTCTTTTACGTTGGGAACCTCTTCATTTCTAGCAAATAAAAAAAAGCGCTTCAATCAAGCTCACAGTTCATAGGTGGGTTCAATGTTAGGTGTCGAGAGTTATTAATCACATATGAATTTTTTGACAACATCCAGTCTATTTGATTTATTTCGCATTGATTCATGTGTTTTTTTATTTCAATAAACGTGTTTCAGCATCACAAAACGAAAGTACTGGAAAATCGTTCAGATTCATGGAGAGTAATTTTTGTCAACACTGCTTTCTGTCAACACTCTGACAGTTTATTACGTGATTTTCCTTTCTTGTCCGTACATTTTACAATTTTTACACGTCTTTTCAAAAAACGTCGTTCTCCCAAGACGCTGTTCGTGTTTTCATGTTTTTAGTCGATTCAAAATGTTCCTTCGCTTGTATAGTTATTCATTTATTTATTTTTATTTATTTTGAAAACGGTTTCAGTGACAATTGCAAAACAAATTTGAATCCAGTTAAATATGCTGTCGTTCCTTTTAATTCGTGCAGATTCTGAATGCTTGCTATTGCCACTTCTGCTTGACACACTCGACTCGCTGAACGAGTTAATTTACGACAGGACGCGCTATTTGCGTCTGCCAATATAATACATTTCTTGTGTTTAATTTATGACCGCTTATTGCATTTTTAAATATCTTAATAAGAAGTAATAATGCACTTGTGTCAAAAGCGGTTACTACACGCATCTCTAGAGGCGGAGGGGTACTTGGTTGTTTGTTTTCGTTTGTTCGGTAGTGCTGTTTGGCGTGCGTAATATTTGAATTCATTTAACAATTCGTTAGCAGAATTAAAAACCTTTTTATTTCAAGTGTTAGAAAAACTTTCCCAACAGGAAAAAACTGAAATCTATTTTCTGGGCATCTTCTGCATCGAGGCCATGTTCAAGATAGTAGCCCTGGGCTTCGTGCTGCACAAGGGTGCCTACCTGAGGAACGCGTGGAACATGATGGACTTCATTGTTGTGGTCACCGGGTTTGTCGCCTCTGTTCATATTTCTTGCTGTTGTTGTTGTTTGGAAAGATTGTATAGTTGTCCGTGTTTTGTTCATCTTATTGTATCAAATGTTGTTCTTTTTACTTGCTGTTAATTGTTGCAAAAGCTCCTATTTTTTGTTGCGACTATTTTTAAGGTTCTCGTTTGCTAGATGGATCTGATTTATCATGCATTATTATGCTGATTAATATCATTCTTTAATTTTGGTTACATCTGATGTTATAATTGATTCTTATTAATTTTTAATATTCAACGATAATTCATTAGTTTATAATTTATTCACCAGTCCCTTAACTTCATTCAGCTGAGCATCATCATCGCTTAAAACACTTTAAATTGATTGCAATTACACTCCTCACACGATGGCAGCACACAGGAATGCTATAAAAGCGCAACTTAACCAACCCTCACATGAACAAGCTGATAGGCAGACAGACAGACAGACAGACAGACAAACAGACAGACAGAGAGACAGACAGACAGACAAAACTAATGCAAACAATGCACATCTGTTTGAACATGATCATATA